CTTTGTGACGGCCCCGGCTTGATCAGTCTATCCGACAAAAACAAATAAGAATTCATCGCAAATCAGACGTACCCTATTTTTTAGCTGAAACTTCTGTCTATACCTCACATAATGTTTATACGTTGAATAGAGTGAATCAACGAACACTCCCTCACCTAGTACACTCCTATGGTATGAGTTCTTTAAAGGGGCTTACCCCCACATTTCATGATTAATTATATACATACGTCAATGAGCCCCCATGTTCTCTATCGCCTCTTGAAACCGACGGTAGCGCGTAAGATTTATATATAATAACTCTGCATTAATTCTATTACATTGAGATAACCCCTTGCTATTGATTTATTTATTATGTCTAGTGCTATCGTATCATCAATTTATGACTTTGAAGACTAAATTTCATATCGAGTTATTGGTTATAGCTCTAGGATACTAATATATTGAGCTTTATCATTAGTTTATCTAGTTACTCCGGGGCCCCGTGTTCGAATCATCCGCTTGTACCCAATATTTATTTACCGTTTTTGTTCGCTGACCGACGTGAGGCCTATAGATGGCGTCACCAATCATGCTGTTATTTCTCCATCCTCGCACCATTCGTCTCCCAGTTTATACCATAGTAAGTCATATTTGTACAAATTCTCGGTATCTGCCACTGTTATCAGCGCGGTCGGCATAAGATGATCGATAGAAGTCGTTTCGCGGGTATTCGAATTATACTCACCGAGTTGGCTCATAAACACATAGGTATAATTCTCCTTGTTTTATTTATTTAGGCGCGCTGCGACCGGTATATAAGATACTCAATAACTTAATAATAATCTGTCCGATATACTGTTCGTGAGGCTTGTCTCGTATATTGTTTGTGTAGCTTCGATGTCAGCACAACCTTGTTAAACCGTAAAGTTCCGCTAGCATAGGCCTTTTCTGCACTACGAAAAATTTGGCTGACTCGCTTCTTCATTCGCTAACCATCTTTTGCTCGGCGTTCTAGGCTTTAGTCAGGAGGCTTTGCACATCTTATCTGGCAAATTATGATAAGACCATTTTGGGTATCAAAATCTGGGTTCATATGTTCCTCACTAAGAATTTTTCGAGGAGGGCCCACAAATTTGGAACCCCGGAAATCACGCCCCCCCGCCCGAATTACTGGGGCTCCGGTAAGGGCACCAGCCGAACTTGTCTATTTTTGCCCATATCTTTGGAGCGTCTTTTGCATATATCCTCTGATACTGGTTTCATTGAATCTATTTACATAAATTTATATTTATTTTCTTTCTTTGAGTCCGAATTTTGAACAAAGTTAGAGTCAGATTTAAGGGAGTTCTGTAAACTATCTAATTGAATCTGGAGTGGAACGTAGGTTGTATTGTCGAGAATTTATTAAGGATCTATATAGTTAAAGGCTTCCCACGAGATATCGTTCCTTGTCTCACATCTGCGGCACCGAAAAGTAGTTTTTACATATCTCGGTTATTTTCTAACAAAGAGTAGAGTTCAATTCTTGGGGTTTATGTAGGTCAAAGAATTTATACACGATAGCACAATGATACACTTCAGACTCCTGAAATTCCGGTTTCACTTGTAGTAGTAACACGTAGTGCACCATCTGAGCTAGGACTGACTATATGACGCCGCCAAGCGTTCCTTCGTCACTTGATTACATACACAGCCGCACACTTGGATGACTATTATGTTAATACCTTACGTAGCACCATGTTTCAATATAGTTGATTTTTGATGCACTTCCGCTGTGCAAGGATAGCAAGTAAAAGAAAGATCACAGGTACTTAGTTATTTAGCTTAGCTATATATGCATGGACTTGGACACTTGAGTCACGATCTCGAGTTTTGGTCTTGCTGCTGTCGCGTGGTCCATTGAATGTATGAAAGCTGGTTCCTGATATGAGCTCAAAGGGAAGGGTTTCTATATCAAACATCTCAAGAGGAGGGCTGGGAATCATGAGCTGGGGTTGTTTCCCATCACACGCCTCATCGCCATAATATGGCGCTGCGAGCGCTACGCCAGTTCTGAAGGAACTGCCAATGAAAAAGATGGGAGGTCCCTTTAACTCATTCAGAACCTGAGCCTGGAACATTGAGAAGCCGCCAGTTCATTGAGATCTTGGTACAGATCAGCCTCTTTGAGTATACATAGCACACAAATCCACAAGTATCTTTTTTCTGCTGCTGAAAGGATTACTTTGTTATGCTGGGTACCAGCTAGTTGTTAACCTGCCTCTGTCAGTTCATCCCTCATCGAGGCACTATATTCGCATTGAGAAACCCACATCTTCTTGTGCAGCGTTAGTAGAAAGAGCAGTTCGAGAATCGGCGCCACAGTGACAGCATTGGACAGAATGGCAAGGCTAAGCACAGACGTCGCCACCTAGTGACTCATAACAAACATTGAATGAATGTTCTTCCGTTCTTTCCAAGGGTTAAAATCAACATGAAGCTCAAAGTCTGGGGACACTACTGACGGAGAGATCACGCAATTGCTTAGACAGAGCCAGACTGGGGCATAAAACGGTGCGAGAAGAAGGACACTAATGACGCTTATCAAAGATAATCAACTGTCTCGTTTAACAGGTCAATTTGCGTCGACTAGAACCGCTTACTCATTGCCAATAAACATGTCACATCTCACTATAGAGACACACACATACCTGTAGTCGCGTTTCTTCTTAGGTTCCATCTACTTGTGATGTATGAAGGGTGCGCTTTCTCACCAGCACATTTGATTTAGAACATTTTCAGACCGATTTAGTGACACTAGAAATCTTTCTTCCAGACCAGAGGATGGGTACCACAGCTTGCCGCAATCTAGTGCATTAAGCTCTGGTCTTGCTTCTTGATCATTCTGTGAGAAGGATTTGGATCAATCGCTTCGGACAGTGTATTCAACCATTAAGAAATTACTTGAGACTGTCTGACAGCTTTTGTACTTCTTTCCGAGGCGGGTAGGGTGCTCTTTATGCTGGGGTAACCGGTTAATATACTGGTCTGCTACACTATTGAGGGAGACGCGCCAGCGCGTTGATAAACCAGTGTCTCTCAAATCGGGCTCTGCATGCGATCAGCATTGGCTAGCCAATTTCATTGAATGAGGTTGACTCCCTCATGGCTAAGGACTGGAGCAGGCCACGGGTCGTGCTCGACTCGCACTACTGATAATATGTGTCAGAAATACAAAACCTATGACTTGATTTAGGTGTACTTGTGTAACCGACTCGGTTTTCGGTGAGCACGTAATGTTTGGTTCACAGTGCAGAAATTCAATAGCGTGCATTATGGTTACATTTAGCTTTATGGTAAAGTTTATTTTTCTTTTAAAGTTCTAGAAAGACTTTAAACCTAAAGAAAAGGGGATGTTGATATACTGTGTAAACGTATGCTTGTAGTTCCGTTTCATTGTACAGAGTGATTCCGGTATTTACATGTACCCGTCGGTCCCATAATGCATAGGGGTTGTACCACGGGATTCGGAGTAAACATGGCGTAAAGACTTGACCCGGTATCTGTGTTTGTCCTGTTATTTGTTGAACCTACACGTTATCAACAACTCTGAGTTAACTTTTAACTCTGAGTTAAGGAATTTAACTCAGAGTTAAGAGTTAACCCACGACTGTGGAACCGGGTCCAGCTGTTTATAACACGGAATACCTTAAAGTGATTACGTCACCGTAAATAATAAAAAAATATTTCCACTTTTTCACAAAATATAAGTAATTTTGTTCACTTTTTATGGTTAAATTGCTGCATTATACTTCTTATTTTACTATAATAGTTCAATGTGAACATACACTCGTGACTCATACATAGCCCATAGCAAGCAATTAATGTCAGGAACACTAATATCAAATCGTCCAGGTTTTTTGGATTTTCAACTAGTTGAGAAACAATCTTATCAGGTAAGAATTTGACGATACGTTTTTTAGTTCTTACTTTTACTTTTAGCTCTTACTTTTACTTTTAGTTCTTACTTTTAATGTAAAAAAAAGGCAACAAAATTTTACAAATTTTACCATAGAAAATTCGTGACGTAATCAATTTAATTACCTTATTGTAAATTTGAGGTTGTGAGACATACTGCGCGTTATGTATCCTGCATATTTTAGGTGGCGTAACACTTTCTAACTTTTCAACTTCCTCCCGCCAACTTCCTAACTTCATTCACTAACAGCACTACAAGCAGCACACGCAATTAAGGCACGTACATTTCAACTAACAGATACAAGCAATATAGAGATTGCATATCAAATGTGGTGGGATATGCATTGTGATATTATGCGCTTAGAAATTCAGGGGGCCAGAATATCCACATAATTAAGGAATTTATGAAGAGTATAAACATTTATTGATCAATGAATCTAATCAATCACACGTTTTGATATATAGATAAGATGAATCTATGCTAAAGCCGAAAAAAGCTCTAATATTAGACATAATTATTATATGTGATCTATATAGGCATGCAAGGCATGAATTAAGACAGAAGAATGTTTTATTACCTCCAGTATGGGGGAATTTTCGAGCAGCTATGGTAAAACAAGGTGTAGCAGAATATGAGGTAGACTTCAGAGTAATTAATATTATTTAATGAGTAGTAATTAAGGGTGAAGCAGGCTATAATGGAAATTTATAAGCAGTGAGGGTAAATCCAATATTAGTTTTGAGGAATCTTGTCATTCTCTGGTGAATTGGCGATGAGAAAATAAACTGTTAAGTCATATAATATATGTTAACCGACATTCTCTATATTATCAACTTTTTACAACATGGACAAACATGGTTTATGTCATAAGACCGCAAACAGATATCTTATGTTATAGCTATGGGAAGTTAATCGTACTGTCCCACAGAATTTCATAGCAATTAAAATACGAAAATTCATGAGGTTCGTTTACTATATACAACCCTTCCTATGAATACAGATTCCTAGAACATCATTAATTAACCTTCTTTCACTGAACATAATCTGGAACAATTTAATACACACGACCGCGAAATACAATGTACAAAATTATTCTCTTTGATCACCATGACATAAAACCTATGGCCTACACAGCCTATATAAGTTCTCCTAACTGACCACAATAATACAATAAAAACTTGACAACAAGCGTCAAATGATCGTAAAATAAACTGCTCCAAATATCAATTACTAAACCCTGAAAAACCCCGGGTGCCGGGTTTGGATCACTCTTAGTCTGACTCCTCTTCCTTGGCTGGTTTAGCATGGTTATACCATTGCTGACCTCGCACTTATGATCATAGGAGTACGCAAGCCCCCACACGACGGCAACTTGGTGATCCAGATTTTGGGGGACATGAAAAACACACAAAACAACACGATTATGTTGATCCCTCGATGCTTGCCACTTGTCCGCTGCTTGTCCGCCACTCGGTTGCTGTGTCCTTCGTCTGTTGTTCCGTTGATTCGTCCCAGCTAGGTAATCTGTGATCGATGTTTTTCCAACTGTGCTGATGATGTCAGATGATGCTAAATGAGGATAGAAATATTCCTGTTATTATCCTTGTACTACACACTGGAGTCTTTGCACTATATGATTTCGTGCTTGCACGATGTTTGGATACTTAGGAGTTAGACCATCTGTAGCATAAATTTACTCCCAATTGAAAAAATATTGCTTGACAATGGTTGTGAAAATTTTGTATAATCGTCAACGTCAATGTTGTCCCGTCCGCTGAAGTTGTGCTCAAGGTGCGTACGTCTCTGTAACTGCTGAAGATGCATGGTTGACTGAAAAGTAATTGTATATAGTGATGAAAGTGATGAAAGTTCTGTATGATTGTCAGACATAACTCATGTGATGAAAATGTTCATGGAATCCATCTGTAGTTGGAAGAAGATCGCAGACTCCGGGTGTCGATGAAATGTATCTTCTGTGTTTGCGTCGATGTTGTCCCGTCCGTTTAAGTTGTGCTGAAGGTGCGTACGTCTCTGCAACTGTGCTGATGATGGCTGACTGAAAAGTAATTGTACATAAGTGATGAAAGTTCTGTATGATTGTCAGACATAACTCACGTGATGAAAATGTTCGTAGAATCCCTCTGTCGTTGGAAGAAGGTCGTAGACTCCATATGTGTCGATGAAATGTATGTTCTGTGTTTGCGTCGATGTTGTCCCGTCCGTTGAAGTTGTGCTGAAGGTGCGTACGTCTCTGTAACTGTGCTGATGATGGCTGACTAATAAGTAATTGTACATAATTAAGTGATGAACATTCTGTATGATTGTCAGGCATAACTCACGTGATAAAAATGTTCGTAGAATCCATCTGTCATTGGAAGAAGGTCGTATAGACTCCGGGTGTCGATGAAATGTCCTGCCCGATGTCCAGGTTCATTTGCCCAGGTTATCTGCGATGTATCTTCTGTGTTTGCGTCGATGTTGTTCTGTCAGCTGAAGTTGTGCTGAGGGTTCGTACGTCTCTGCATCTGTGCTGATGATGGCTAACTGAAAAGAAATTGTATATAGTGATGAAAGTGATGAAAGTTCTGTATGATTGTCAGACATAACTTACGTGAGGAAAATTTTCGTAGAATCCCTGTCGTTGGAAGAAGGTCGTAGACTCCAGGTGTCCATGAGACGTATTGTGTTTGCGTCGATGTTGTCCCGTCCGTTTCCACATTAAACAAGCTTACATAAGATTTTTCAAACCGTGCATAAGAAATTCAAATATGACCATTCAAATGAGGTAGCAGTAGTTATTTATTATTTGTTAATTTACTTGTTAATTGGTTAAGGTTAGGGTTAAGGTTAGGGTTATGGGTAGTGTTAGGGTTAGGTTGTAGGTTATATGTGCATATTAAATAGACCATAGTACATGCTATTCATTATTTAGAGTAACAATCATCACATTTATCTTTTTACTGGCATTGCAAATATATACACTGAGCAATTTAAGCCACTGGTATTTGTTAATTTACTTGTTAATTGGTTAAGGTTAAGGTTATGGTTAGTGTTAGGGTTAGGTTGTAGGTTATGTACAGATTAAATAGACCATAGTACATGCCATTCATTATTTAGAGTAACAATCATCACATTTATCTTTTTACTGGCATTGCAAATATATACACGGAGAAATTTAAGCCACTGGCATTGCAAATGGATAATTATTGCACGATATTTTACTGGCTCATAACTGTAAC